TTAGAGCTTATAAGCTCTCCTAAAGTGTTTGGTAATTTTTTAGAAAAAGATCTTATTTTTTTTTTAAATAATCTGTTGGAGAGCAAATAAGATCTTTTTAAATAAGTACCTCTACCCCCACCTTTTTATTTAAGATCTTATAATGAGTAAAAATAGGAAATAAACTCATTATCCAAACACTCTAAAAATTAATCATAAAAATAAGATGTAACAGCTTATCAGCTCTAAAAACATCTTATCAGACGTAAGAGCTTATCAGCTGTTTAAAATAAGCTTAGCCAAACACCCTCTAAGTAATTGTTTGATAATGAAAATGTAATATAGTTTCATTTTGGGTTAATTTAACTACCTCCCATTTACTAATATAAAATCTTCACTTACATCCGTTCTACTATCAAAACCTCCCCATTGAACTACATCTCATGCCAACCATACATTTTTCTTTTAAACCAAGTTTATTCCTCTTTATTTTAATAGAAAAATGACTCTTCTATTTCATTATTTTACAAACCCGAACCTTTTAATTTTATATTAAAAATATTCTCATATTTTTAGTTTATACTAAGATTTATTTTTTATCATTGTTTTTAATTTTCTTCGTCCTAATTTTTTTAAACACTTTTATTCTAAAGACAAATAAAGCATAAAGTATAAACTAACATTAAAAATTAGAGTGAAAAAAAATGTCACTAAATGTGTTTTCTATAATTTATTCGATAAGCTTTGCAATGAAACTTACTATTTAAAATTATATTACACGCCTTAAATTTAATTTTGTTACTACATAATATAAATTTATCATGGCGTATAATTTTGATGAATAACTTCAGTAATTAAAACGAACAGTTAAAATAATAGAAGTATATTCTTGTTGAAAATAAAGATGGAGACATTTGACTTAAAACTTAAAAGAATGGTATAATAATTGTAACATATTAATTAAGGGGGTAACTGAATGTTTTGATAGTATAGAGCACGTAACTGAAGGTTTCATATTAAGGCATGGAAGGTAAGTGAAATTAACCCTTTCAATTTTTTTCTTTCAATTTTTTTAGAGAGTAATATAGTTTCATTTGATTAGTGACGAAACAATTATTTTATTTACTGTGGTTAAACACATACCAAATGTGCTAGTAAAATTAATAACCTCAAGGTTATTCCGTTTACTATAACCAAGATTGCACCACAATCTTTATTCTAATTGTTTTGTTCAATGTCATCTAGTTTGTGAATGAGTTAACTTTATATTCTAAAAGAACCAACAAAATAATCTTCTGTGAATCTTATTTTCAACATTATAACCAATTGAATGAACTAAGTTGCATTTGGATAAAAGTATTTTAGAGAATGCTTCAAATCCATAAAAGTAAATTATTTTACATTGTTTGGATTGACTGATTCGATAAAGAATTTAGTATTTTACCTTGGACGGATCTCGTATTTTTTTTTTAAATTCAGCATAGAAGCAAATCGTTGCCATCAGCTTGTACAATGTGACCAACAAGACTATTACTCATATCATTACAAACAACGTGATCCTTTCTTGCCTTAGATTCTTGCTCCGTCTCAGAGTGGGTTTGTTCGGAATAAACTTATCATTGATAATATATTGTTGGCTTAAGAGATGCATACGACTACTTCAAGGCGACACTATTCTTAACTTAGAGATATCGAAGGCGTACGACAGGATTCAATAGATCTTATGGGGTTCGCCAAACAATCACAATTTTCAACCCTCAAGATTATACCATATAAACCAGGCAATGAAAGCACTTAAATCAACAAGAACTTGGAACTGTTAATTGGGTGTGTGTATTTTGAAATGGGAATGAACAAAATTTGGACATAAGTTTGACAAGAAAAATGTAGTCGAGGCAAGAACTAGGTTCTTTCTCCTTAAGGCAAATTTGCCCTGTGCAGTGCTCTCGGTTTACGGCAATTGTCTCCCAAGATACAACGACTCTTTCAGTTCCAACAAAGCAACACAACAATTATTGGAACACGGCGAACGAAACGATGTTTAGGACTTTATAAGACACGAAGAAAGGACTTGTTAATGCAACAATATGCAATGATATGTTATGACGAGAAGTGAATTCAATTAATGTATTGAATTCCATGTGAATAATGAACTATCTCAAATAGTGGATTTTGGAATCTATTTATAGATTTTCAAAGGTTATAACCACAAGTCACAACTCTTAGGAAAATAATTTCATGAAAAGGTATCACACCTTTTCCCATTAACCACACACCTATTCAATTTAATAGGTGCTTAAACACCTCCATCTTTTTCAATGGTGGCATTTCACTTTATTATTTTCCACACTTAAATATTTTAAATGATCCATTAATTTATCATTCATCAAAAATTAATTTTGAGAATTTAAATTAAACCACTTAAATATTCAACAAAATTTGAGTCAAATACTCAAAATTTCCAACAATCCCCCACATGAATGAAATTAATGCATGCAGACACATTTAAAGTCCAAGCGATTTGTTATTGCATCGGGAGAGGTAGCTTATGGCTTTGAACCTTCCTTAGTAAAATGCTGTCGGATTTACTTGTTGCTTAGTGAACGCGATGTCTTGAACTAATCAACTTTTGTGTAAACCAAGACAACAACACTTACACAATAACATCTCTAACGTCGTTTGTTCTCACGTTGTGTCCATTTCGGCCTTGGACCAATTCTTGGATTCATAAGTGTTTCATTGAAGCGGCCCTATACTTCACACTTAAATAGGTGATCTCCCATAAAGAATACCCTGCCGTATTCCACCTTAAAAGGTCATAGGAATCATTAAAAGTCACTAGACTTAACCTCACCACATTCGACAGGTAGCACTTGGATTTTGGGGAATGGTAGGAATTATTTCCAAGTGCTCGATTTGAATTTCCATAACTTAGTTATCCTATTGAACTAAGATCTTGGGATCTCCAATCTACAAGGTTGGGTTACTGTTACCCCCTTAATCGGTGATATCGGTAATGACTCGAGTGTGGCCGAGTCATGACCGATAAATGGTGCCAAGTGGGGATTGGCACAAGGCAGCCACACAATCGGCCAATGAGTGGTCGAGTGATCGGCAAGCATTTGGGGTGCTTGGCCGAGAAAAGCAAGGATCGGCTTGATTCAAGTGGGAACGGTGATCGAAAGTACTTGTGGCTGGCACGGGCGTTGCTCGGCAGCAAAGACGGACAAAGCGTGGGCAATAATCGGCATGCGGCCGATAATGTGGGCAAACGAACGTTCGAGGGAAATCGACCACAACTTGACAAGTGTGGGCAAAATGGGCAAGGCAAGCAAGGCAGCCCGATGAGCGGGCGTGCCGATGACCGTGTGGGCAAAGAACTGGCAAGTATCGGTAAAGGCAAGCAAAAGTGCGGAAAAGGCAAGGCAGATGGGCTGCCTAGCAACCGGCCGAGCTGTTTGGGCCGTTTGGCGCGCGTTCGCGGGCTCGATCAAGTTGGGCTTCGAAAATCAGCCTTAGGGGCGGATTTGAGGAAGTTACGGAGCGGTTGAGGCCTGGAAATGCATGAAAACTGCCCCTTTATACTTGTAATAGTTGGCCAAGTGTCATGTTTGTATGCTGCCATGTGTCCTTAGGTAGTTTTGTGTGAAAACTACCATTTCCTTGTATTTATTTGGCTATGAGTGCACAAATCCGAGGCATCTAGTATCATCTAGCATATGAGAGTTCAGATTGCAATTGTTGGGCAATTCTGAGTGAGGATTTTGTGTGTGCACCTTAGTCTCCTTTGTATTCGTTGTGGGAATTAATATAAAGGTTGGGCATTGCCCGTAAACGTGTTTGTGTGTTTGATTTCCGCTGCATACTCTTGTATTCGTTTACGTGGCTGAAAAGACTTGTGTTTGTGCGTGTTTGTGCGAAGAAAATCGTGAGGAAGGCTGACTGATTTGGTGGGCAAATCAGGCCGTACGGGCGGAAAATTTCGGTGATAAATTAACCCCTGTAACAGTTGGTATCAGAGCCCGGTTCAAGGCATCTGAACGTGTTGCTGTTCGGCATGGCTGAAGATTCTGGATCTTCGACAAATCCAAATCCTACTCGTGTGATGATGCTAGAGATGGAATCAAGGCTGCAACGTCTTGAAGCCTTGGTTGGGCCGCCCCTAGATCCAACGGATCCACCGATCTTACAAAGGCTCGCTGATGGGAAGCGAGAAATCGATCGTTTGGCAAGATCGTTGGACGATCTGCCCCAATTCGTGGAGGGCAGATTCACGTCCGTTGCTGAGGAGATGGGACTTCTCATTGATGCCGTTGAGATGAAGCTTGATGGGATGCTTACAGATCTGGCGGTGCTTAAGAGGGCTGTTCGTAATGAAAGCTCGAGTTCTGAGGGCAGAACATCGGGATCCAAGGTTCGTGTGCCGGAACCGACTGCGTTTGATGGTGTACGCAGCGCCAAAGAAGTTGAAAACTTCGTGTGGGATATGGAGAATTACTTCGAGGCAGCGAAGGTTCCGGATCGCGAGAAAGTGACCATTACAAGTATGTATCTTGTGGGCGATGCAAAGTTGTGGTGGCGTGCTCGTTTGTCAGACGATGCAAGTGCCAACCGAGTCAAGATCGAGACTTGGGAGGTGCTGAAACGGGAGTTGAAAGAGCAATTCCTACCTTGCAACGTGGGCTGGATTGCAAGGGAATCCCTTCGGCAATTGAAGCACAAGGGAACCGTGAGGGAGTATGTCAAGGACTTCAGTTCTCTGCTCCTTGACATACGTGACATGTCCGATGAAGATAAGTTGTTCAACTTCATGGCTGGATTGCAGCCATGGGCCCAAACCGAGTTGCGGAGACAAGGTGTGAAGGATCTGCCAAGTGCTATCTCGGCAGCGGACCGACTTGTCGATTACAAGGTGATGGGGGCCGATGATTCCGATAAGGAAGGCTCGAAGAGGGATAAGTCCAAGGGGAAGAAGTTCGGTGGCAAGGGTGGCCGAAATTGGAAGCACAAAGAGAGTGGTGATGGCGAAGGATCCTCGGTGCAAACCAAGACCGGTGGACAGCCCGTCGTCAACAAACAGAACCGTGGGTGCTTTCTATGTGATGGCAACCACCGAATGAGGGACTGCCCTAAGAGGAGCAAGTTGAATGCTTTGATGCGGGAGTCGGATAGTGAGGAGTCGGACGAGACGAGGAGTGCGAATCCGATTCAGATGTTGAGTGCTTTGGTCGTGGACAAGGCACCCAACGGCACCAAGGGCTTGATGTATGCTTCGGTGCTGATCAATGGCAAAGAAGTGAAGGCGATGGTTGACTCGGGAGCAACACACAACTTCGTTGCCGAGAGAGAAGTCAAGAAGTTGGGCTTGACTCTCTCAAAACATGCAAGTCAAGTGAAGGCTGTAAATTCAGAGGCGGGGCCGGTGAAAGGCAGAACCGATGTCGATCTTGTGATCGGTTCTTGGAAAGGGCAGTGCGGACTGACTGCCGTACCACTAGATGATTTCGATGTGATATTGGGGCAAGAGTTCCTACTTGCTGCCAAGGCTGCGGTGATACCGTTTCTCGGAGGGTTGATGATTATGGACGAAGAGCGTCCATGCTTCGTTGAATGCTTGTACGTGACGAAAGCAAAGGCGGGAAAGAAACCGGTGGCAAGGTTGGCTGCGGTGCAATTGGAGGCAGAATCGAACGACGAGGAGTCATCGAGCCTAATTGCAGTCGTTGGAACCAAGACGGTGAATTCCCGGGCTGGTTTGCTTGTACGTGCGTTGCCGAGAAATGAGTCGAGGGCAGAAGGCAAGTTAAGGTATTCATTTGGGCTTATGAATGGGCGTTGTGGCCTTACTTTTGTTCCAAGTTGCTGCCGTGCGTGGCACAACTCGTGGGTTCGAAATGTGGTATTCTCTGAATTTCTGTGGCATGTTGGGTTTTTCGTGGGCTGGTTTCTGTTGTGGATGAAATGGAAGCCGTGCTTGGGTGATTTCCGTGGGTTGGTGATGTTAGAGTAGGTGACCAACAAGCCAACATGTGGCTGTGGTCTTTCGTATTTATTATTGTAATAAACGAACCTCTATTCGTATTAATGATAAAACACCTTGGCATTCTATATCTTTGTCCCTTTGTCACAAGCATAGATATAGTCCTTACAGTTATTACAAGTACTAGTAATTGATCGTTAGGATCGTGAGATATTTACTTAAGTATTATAACTGTTAAACGTGTTCCTAGTCGAAGGGTTACGCCACTAATGAGGATATCGGCCTTTCCCATTAAGACTAGCACTTAGTGTATGTGTACTGCATCTCACCAGTAAACGGTATTGTGATATCGGCATGCATAAGTGGGTGCTCGTAAGTTGACGAGTTCACTGAACTCCCTCGCCCTAGAAATCTCTAAGTGGTTCCCAATAATCGAGTAGAGATATCTATGGTATAGTTGTACACCATTAGTCCTTATGACCTAGACATCACCGTGACTTCACTAGAGGACCAGCTGTATCGTGACCTGTCCCTGAGTTCCACCGAGGACCATCCCAAGGGCCAGTGTTCGTGCAGTCCGAAATCTAGTGGGAGGTCTGTGCATTGTAGTCGGGGATTCGATCGCTAGAATAGTCTTGGATGTCCTGTGTGTTCTGAAAGTTTGTAATCATTCTAAGTCTCTGGCCAGAGCTGACTAAGTGATGATTAGAGAATTCGATTCTCTAAGTCATGCACGTAAGGATTACAACACTTAGAACGATCGCACCGTCATTGAACGTATAAAGAGGTCTCGATGAACCAATGCCTCTAGTTCGATCGGGACATATGAATCGAAGGGACCGTACTGTACGTTAACTATATCTGAAGGTTCTTGCAGGCACTTCATTTGTATCTAGGGAATCATGACGCGTAGTTGCTAGACGCCAATCTTGATTCGTTGGGTGATTAAGGTGAAACGAGCTTCATCTTAATCGTAACTCGAAGGGGACGAGTTTTGACCACAAAGGGTTGTGGGCCCACGGCTAGCTTACACCTGAACCATCGAGGGTCACACTGCTCGTGCACATGAGATCTTTGAATAAATGGTCAGAGATAAAATAGTTTATCTTTGCATGATTGGAAGTCAATACGATTGGGTCCAACATTCGTAATTTGGAATTATGAATGAGAATAAGAAAAGGAAAAGAATAGGCGAACGTGTTAGTGAACTTTCTAAATCGGGAAGTTTCCAAATTTAGAAAGTGCACTGAACTAGGGTTTCCACTTTTGGAAAGTTGGAAAATGAAAGATGGCACTCGTAATGACGAGGGAATTATAATGATTCCGAAAATGTAATCGTTGCAATTTTTCGGTCATTGAATTAAGAGAGACGAGCAAGAGAAAGTACTAACGGACTTAAGCTGTTGGGCCCGGTCCAACTTAAGCCCGCTAGGGTTTTATGCAAGGGACTATAAATACATGATTTATAGGCCTTGCACACACACACAAAAACCCTAACCCTAAGCGGCCGACCCCTCTCTCTCTCGGCCTCTCTTTCCGCGGCCACCACCGCGCCGCCGTCGCCCCTCCGTCGCCGGAATCGGCCGTCCATCGGCCGTTCTCCTTTCGGTATTGTTTTTCCTTCTCTTTTCTTTCGTTTTATTCTAACTACTTCGTGTCTAGTGCCACGTTGTAGTAGATCGAAGTATACGAGGTGAAATCCGAGAGGAGGAAGACTGTAGATCGAAGAATCGAGAAGCAACGCACGAGCCGAAGCCGCACGCTGCCCCACGCGCCGCCCGGAAGTTCGCGCGTGAAACTCACGCGCCGCCGTGACCTCACGCGCCGCTGCTGCCGCTGCACCGCTGCTGCCCCGATTGTACGGATTGGTTTCCGTAGCAATCTCGACGTGCTAAACGCTCCTACCTCACGCTTCAAGAGGTAAATACGCGAAACCCTAGTTTCGGTTTGTTTAGGTTTAAACCATGAATTCATGTTTGCTATCATGTGATTTTATGTGATTATGTGTAATCGATTTAAATCATTGTGAGCATGTTATTTGGTTTAAACGCGAGCATGTTAATTGTTTTAAATTCGAATAAATAATTAGCATGTATGTTGTTGTTTAATTTCGCTGGAAGCGCAAAGGTACGTAATTAATTGATTTAATTTATCGGGCATGTGTTTATGTGATTTAAACTCGTTTAATTCGCATAAAATTTTTTTTTTCCGCTGCGTATGCGTGCCCGAAACCCAACAGTGGTATCAGAGCTCGTTGCGCAATTAATTGCGTTCGTTTTAATATGCTATGATTTTATGCATGTTCGATTTATTAAAGTAGTGATAGTCGTATTATGTAATTGGGAGTTTTCGTAAGTTTAAAATATTTTTGAAATATTGTTTAGAATTTTTCCAGCTTTAAAATTGTTTAAAATTGGAAAATCGGATCTGAAATTGTTTTAAAAATGTCGGATTTTTAATTGTTCGGATCGAACCGGTCGAACCGGCCGGTTCGATGGTTGTGTGCGACCTAGTTGACCGAATCCACGTGGATTCGGGTCGGTCAGACCGGTTCCCGGTCCGACTGACCCGGCCCACTGATTTGGGTCAGCTGGACCGGACAGAACCGGACCGCTTCGGTCCGAACCGGTCAGACCGGTTGGGCCGAATCGGTTCACTGAAAATAAAAAAAAAAAAAAAAAAAAAAAAAAAAAAAAATTATTTCAGATTTCCAATATTAAACTTAAAACAAATTGATTTTAATTTTTGGAAAATTATTTTCAATTAATCCCAATTAGATAATTGGATCGACAATCATCTATTTTAGTAAATAGGTGTTAGATTAATTAAATTGATTTAAATTGTTAAATTGATTTCAATTAATAGAATACATATATAATATTGATTATAAGTTCAACTTAATTAGTAGTACCTCAACATTATTTGAATGATTTATGCTAGTTGAGGTTCTATAATTATTTTGAAAACTCGATAATTAATTAATGTAATTAATTATGATATTAGGTCGTATGTTCCTCTTAGGACAATATGCGCTTCCATATACCTTTAGAGAACATAGATGTAGGAATCACATAGACCAATCCGAACCTTCTGATGAGATAAAACTTTTAATAAAAAATCCCTCATTCTTAATTCAATTAAGAATCATTTCAAGCTATAAAGGAAAACCCAATATGTTGAGTTATTTCTTTCCTTCTGCCAACGGTTGGATTATGTGTAGCCCTTTACTATAGTGCAGTAAGCCGTGTTAGCGGGGAGTGCTATGGTAGAGTAAGCTGTAATTCAATTGACATAATGATGAAGGTAGCCGTAGAAAAGGGTTATGTTGAATTAACGTGGTCGGCTAGATTAACTAGGGACTGCATTAGTTTGGCATAATCAAGTTCTATGAGCATCTTTGATTGGTAGGTTAGACTTGACACACGACGATTTTGATATTCGCGAGATTAACTTAGGTCATTATCAAGTGTGAGGAAAATTAATTTAGGGTCATATTGTGGATATGATTGATTGTGATCTACCTTTGGGCAAATATAATCGGGCTAGATTAACTACGGGTTATATTTGTCTATTGGACCTAAAGCCCATTAAGAAAAATCAGTTTTCTCGTTTGTCTACTAGAGGGAAGTGGAACTCGATAAAATTAGTGGGAGAACAATTAAATAACACAAGTCCAAACATTTAATTGTAACAATCATTTAACGCGAATCTCTAATAATCCTCTTCTCTATATGTCTCAGATAATCATGTCTAAGAATCCCATAATGTCAATCCTCGACAATAAACTTAGTGGCCCTAATTACCTAGATTGGTTGCGTAGTCTTAAGCTTGTGATAACTGTTGAGGGGCGTCTCTATGTTTTGAACGAGAGACTTCCCGCCACTATACCTGCCACAGCAACTGATGCTGAAAAGGAAACTTATGAAGTTTGGAAGAAAGATGACACTCATGCTAGGTGCTATATGATAGCCGCCATGGAGCCCGCGCTTGCGAGGAAATATGAGTCTCACTTGCATGCTTTCGATATAAAGGCTCATCTCGATAGCATGTATAGTGAGAATATTAGGGCATCGAGGTACGCTGCTACAAATGAGTTGATCACAGCGAGACTGCGCGAAGGGACTTCGGTCCACGAGCACTGTCTCAAAATGATCACTCTCCTTGAAAAGCTAGTGAATCTTGATGTCACCCTCCCTGCCGAGCTCTCGTTGGATTTGATCCTGTTGTCTCTTCCTAGTTCCTATGAATCGTTCATAGTGAACTTCAACATGAACAAACTAGATCCTCCCTTGTATGAGTTAATGAACATGTTGGTCAGCTTCGAGTCCACCATTAAGAAAGAGAAGTCTGTTCTCGTTGCTGCTACTTCTGGAAAGAAGAGTTCTTTCCAAAAGAAGAGAAAGGAAAGAGTTCTTTTCCCTAACAGCAAGTTCGAAGTGGGTGAAGGTAGTGGGGGCCCCAAAGCAAAGGTTAGCAAACAAGTTGATGATGCTTGCCATCACTGTGGAAAGAAAGGACATTGGCGCCGCAACTGCAAGGCTTACCTGAAGCAGAAAGGTTCTGAAAAGGGTACGTATTTCATTGACGTAAATTTGTCTTTCAACTCTTCTTCTTGGGTATTGGATACGGGCTGTGGCTCACATTTGTGCAATGATTTGCAGCTAATGACAAGAAGTCGAAGACTTAGAGCGGGTGAGACCTACCTAAGGATGGGGAATGGAGCAAGAGTTGCTGCTGAAGCCATTGGCACAATTTACTTAAATGTTTTGGATTCTAGTTTTCCTATTGTTTTGAACGATTGTTTATTTGTTCCGTCGCTCATTAGAAACCTTATTTCTATTCCTGTATTAGATATTGAAGGTTTTACTTTTGTTTTTGGAAATTCGATTTGCATTATACAAAAGAATGAGAATTTAATTTGCAAAGGACGACTATTAAACAACTTGTATGAACTAAATCCAAGTGAAATACCTATTAATGTTATATCAGCAAAACGTAAGGAGATAGATCAAAACCCCGCACAACTTTGGCACGCTAGATTAGGTCATGTCTCTTTAAGAAGGATGAACGATTTTGTTAGTGAAGGATTGTTCTCTTTGGAGGACGTGAAATCACTACAAACTTGTGAATCTTGCCTTAAAGGGAAAATGACCAAGTCACCCTACAAAGGGAAAATGGAACGAGCCGAGGGTCTTTTGGATTTGATCCATACAGACGTATGTGGTCCACTAAGTGTTAGTGCGAAGGGTGGATATAACTACTTCGCCACCTTTACCGACGATTGTTCTAGGTATGGGTATGTGTACTTGATGAAGTACAAGTCTGAAACATTTGAAAGGTTCAAAGATTTTAGACATGAAGTAGAAAAGCAACTCGGACGAAGTATTAAGAAGCTACGATCCGATCGTGGTGGAGAATACTTGAGCATCGAGTTCATTGACTATCTAAAAGAAAATGGGATACAGTCCCAATGGACTCCACCGGGAACTCCTCAACTTAATGGAGTATCCGAACGTCGGAATCGAACTTTATTAGATATGGTTCGATCCATGATGGGGTTCACAAACTTACCGGCATACTTATGGGGTCATGCACTTCGTACTGCCGCGTATTTGCTGAATAGAGTTAACACCAAAGCAGTTAAATCCACACCTTATGAACTTTGGCATTCCCGGAAACCCAATTACAAACATATTAGGATATGGGGTTGTCCCGCTTATGTGAAGCGATTAGTGGGAGATAAGTTGGATAGTAAATCCGACTTGTGCTATTGTGTGGGGTATCCCGAAGACTCAATGGGATACGAGTTTTATTATGTCAAAGAAGCAAAGACGTTTGTTTCAAGAAATGCCACCTTTTTGGAAAGGGAATTTCTATCCGATAGAAAGGGCAGCATGATAGAACTTGAAGTAGTTCAAGAACCACAAAGTGAAGTTCAAACGCAAGAACAAGTAATCGAACCAATACAACAAACCACTAATATACCTCCTGAACCTACGGTACGTAGATCCGAAAGAGTTCGGAAAATGCCGGATAGGTTATTCCTCCTCGAAAATGATGAAGATCATGTTGATCTTGGACGAGATCCAAGAACATACAATGAGGCCGTATCGGATGCGGACATGGGACATTGGCTAACTGCCATGAAATCCGAAATGGACTCCATGTACTCCAACAAGGTATGGACCTTGGTAGATCCACCCAAAGGAATTGTTCATATAGGCTGCAAGTGGATCTATAAGAAGAAAATTGGAGTTGATGGAAAGGTATCGACCTATAAAGCTAGATTGGTAGCAAAAGGATACACTCAAAGGCAAGGTGTTGACTATGAGGAAACCTTTTCGCCAGTCGCGATGCTGAAGTCCATTAGGATTTTGCTGGCCATAGCTGCGTGGTACGACTACGAGATATGGCAAATGGATGTGAAGACCGCCTTCCTTAATGGAGATATTGAGGAAGAAATTTACATGGCGCAGCCGGAGGCTTCATATCTTCTGGAAGTGAGCAAAAGGTTTGCAAGCTCCAGCGATCCATTTATGGATTGAAGCAAGCATCCCGTAGTTGGAACATTAGGTTCGACTCAACTATCAAAGAGTTTGATTTTGAGAAGAATCCGGAGGAACCTTGTGTATACAAGAAGGTTAGTGGGAGGGCAGTGATATTTTTAGTGCTTTACGTTGACGACATTCTACTCATTGGGAATGACGTAGGAATGTTACAACAAACGAAAGCATGGTTGTCCACACGTTTCTCAATGAAGGATTTGGGAGAAGCATCTTATGTATTAGGAATACGCATCTATAGAGATAGAGCGAGAAAGATGCTTGGTTTATCCCAAAGCCTGTACATAGACACCGTTATGAAACGATTTAGCATGGAAGAATCCAAGAAGGGATTCTTGCCAATGTCCCATGGGGTTCGTCTCTCGAAATCTATGTGTCCGCAAACACCTAGTGAAATCGAGGAGATGAAAAGGACGCCCTATGCTTCTGCCATAGGAAGCATAATGTATGGCATGCTATGTACGAGACCCGATATTGCGTATGCTGTGAGTGTCACAAGCAGATATCAGTCTAACCCCGGCCCGGCTCACTGGAAAGCCGTGAAAGATATCCTCAAGTACTTGCGAAGGACTAAGGATATAATTTTGGTCTATGGGGGTGCCGAGTTGAAATTAGAGGGTTTCACTGACTCTAGTTTTCAATCGGACGTGGACGACTCAAAGTCGAATTCTGGATTTATATTCACGCTTAATGGTGGTGCCGTGTGTTGGAAGAGTTCCAAGCAAAGCACGACGGCCGATTCCACTACCGAAGCGGAATACATTGCAGCGTCTGAAGCTGCAAAAGAAGGAACTTGGATAAGGAAATTCATCCAAGAGTTGGGTGTCATTCCTGATGCTAGTGATCCAGTACCGTTGTACTGTGATAACACCGGAGCCGTGGCGCAAGCTAAGGAGCCGCGATCTCATCAGAAGTCGAAGCATATTCTGAGGAAGTATCACGTGATCCGAGAGATCATTGATAGAGGTGAAGTTAAGGTTGAACGAGTCACCTCGGAAGAGAACGTTGCAGACCCCTTCACGAAGCCTTTACCAAGATCGGTCCATGAGAAACATCGAGAGTCGATGGGATTGCGATTCATGGGTAGTTGGCTTTAGGTCAAGTGGGTGATTGTTAGAGTAGGTGACCAACAAGCCAACATGTGGCTGTGGTCTTTCGTATTTATTATTGTAATAAACGAACCTCTATTCGTATTAATGATAAAACACCTTGGCATTCTATATCTTTGTCCCTTTGTCACAAGCATAGATATAGTCCTTACAGTTATTACAAGTACTAGTAATTGATCGTTAGGATCGTGAGATATTTACTTAAGTATTATAACTGTTAAACGTGTTCCTAGTCGAAGGGTTACGCCACTAATGAGGATATCGGCCTTTCCCATTAAGACTAGCACTTAGTGTATGTGTACTGCATCTCACCAGTAAACGGTATTGTGATATCGGCATGCATAAGTGGGTGCTCGTAAGTTGACGAGTTCACTGAACTCCCTCGCCCTAGAAATCTCTAAGTGGTTCCCAATAATCGAGTAGAGATATCTATGGTATAGTTGTACACCATTAGTCCTTATGACCTAGACATCACCGTGACTTCACTAGAGGACCAGCTGTATCGTGACCTGTCCCTGAGTTCCACCGAGGACCATCCCAAGGGCCAGTGTTCGTGCAGTCCGAAATCTAGTGGGAGGTCTGTGCATTGTAGTCGGGGATTCGATCGCTAGAATAGTCTTGGATGTCTTGTGTGTTCTGAAAGTTTGTAATCATTCTAAGTCTCTGGCCAGAGCTGACTAAGTGATGATTAGAGAATTCGATTCTCTAAGTCATGCACGTAAGGATTACAACACTTAGAACGATCGCACCGTCATCGAACATATAAAGAGGTCTCGATGAACCAATGCCTCTAGTTCGATCGGGACATATGAATCGAAGGGACCGTACTGTACGTTAACTATATCTGAAGGTTCTTGCAGGCACTTCATTTGTATCTAGGGAATCATGACGCGTAGTTGCTAGACGCCAATCTTGATTCGTTGGGTGATTAAGGTGAAACGAGCTTCATCTTAATCGTAACTCGAAGGGGACGAGTTTTGACCACAAAGGGTTGTGGGCCCACGGCTAGCTTACACCTGAACCATCGAGGGTCACACTGCTCGTGCACATGAGATCTTTGAATAAATGGTCAGAGATAAAATAGTTTATCTTTGCATGATTGGAAGTCAATACGATTGGGTCCAACATTCGTAATTTGGAATTATGAATGAGAATAAGAAAAGGAAAAGAATAGGCGAACGTGTTAGTGAACTTTCTAAATCGGGAAGTTTCCAAATTTAGAAAGTGCACTGAACTAGGGTTTCCACTTTTGGAAAGTTGGAAAATGAAAGATGGCACTCGTAATGACGAGGGAATTATAATGATTCCGAAAATATAATCGTTGCAATTTTTCGGTCATTGAATTGAGAGAAACGAGCAAGTAAAAGTACTAGCGAACTTAAGCTGTTGGGCCCGGTCCAACTTAAGCCCGCTAGGGTTTTATGCAAGGGACTATAAATACATGATTTATAGGCCTTGCACACACACACAAAAACCCTAACCCTAAGCGGCCGACCCCTCTCTCTCTCGGCCTCTCTTTCCGCGGCCACCACCGCGCCGCCGTCGCCCCTCCGTCGCCGGAATCGGCCGTCCATCGGCCGTTCTCCTTTCGGTATTGTTTTTCCTTCTCTTTTCTTCCGTTTTATTCTAACTACTTCGTGTCTAGTGCCACGTTGTAGTAGATCGAAGTATACGAGGTGAAATCCGAGAGGAGGAAGACTGTAGATCGAAGAATCGAGGAGCAACGCACGAGCCGAAGCCGCACGCTGCCCCACGCGCCGCCCGGAAGTTCGCGCGTGAAACTCACGCGCCGCCGTGACCTCACGCGCCGCTGCTGCCCCGATTGTACGGATTGGTTTCCGTAGCAATCTCGACGTGCTAAACGCTCCTACCTCACGCTTCAAGAGGTAAATACGCGAAACCCTAGTTTCGGTTTGTTTAGGTTTAAACCATGAATTCATGTTTGCTATCATGTGATTTTATGTGATTATGTGTAATCGATTTAAATCATTGTGAGCATGTTATTTGGTTTAAACGCGAGCATGTTAATTGTTTTAAATTCGAATAAATAATTAGCATGTATGTTGTTGTTTAATTTCGCTGGAAGCGCAAAGGTACGTAATTAATTGCTTTAATTTTTCGGGCATGTGTTTATGTGATTTAAACTCGTTTAATTCGCATAAAATTTTTGTTTTCCGCTGCGTATGCGTGCCCGAAACCCAACAGGTGATCTCCTTTCTCGATCGGTGTGGCAATCGAGATAAAATGCTAGTAGTGCCAAAAGCTAGCATTTTCACTTGTGGTTGGGTGCTGCCGTTTGAACGTGGTTGGCGTTCGTTTTTCCGAGGGCTGAAAGAACATGTGGGATGTTCGTGGGATCAGACTTGGGAGTTGGGATTCGATGTAGTGCTGGTGCTGAAGCACAATCGAAAACGGTGGCAAGACAAGTGGAAACGAGGAACAGATGAAGCCGATGGTGTCGGTTCGACGAGGGCGTCGAACACCGTTGGTGGGGGAGGTCTGTTACCCCCTTAATCGGTGATATCGGTAATGACTCGAGTGTGGCCGAGTCATGACCGATAAATGGTGCCAAGTGGGGATTGGCACAAGGCAGCCACACAATCGGCCAATGAGTGGTCGAGTGATCGGCAAGCATTTGGGGTGCTTGGCCGAGAAAAGCAAGGATCGGCTTGATTCAAGTGGGAACGGTGATCGAAAGTACTTGTGGCTGGCACGGGCGTTGCTCGGCAGCAAAGACGGACAAAGCGTGGGCAATAATCGGCATGCGGCCGATAATGTGGGCAAACGAACGTTCGAGGGAAATCGACCACGACTTGACAAGTGTGGGCAAAATGGGCAAGGCAAGCAAGGCAGCCCGATGAGCGGGCGTGCCGATGACCGTGTGGGCAAAGAACTGGCAAGTATCGGTAAAGGCAAGCAAAAGTGCGGAAAAGGCAAGGCAGATGGGCTGCCTAGCAACCGGCTGAGCTGTTTGGGCCGTTTGGCGCGCGTTCGCGGGCTCGATCAAGTTGGGCTTCGAAAATCAGCCTTAGGGGCGGATTTGAGGAAGTTACGGAGCGGTTGAGGCCTGGAAATGCATGAAAACTGCCCCTTTATACTTGTAATAGTTGGCCAAGTGTCATGTTTGTATGCTGCCATGTGTCCTTAGGTAGTTTTGTGTGAAAACTACCATTTCCTTGTATTTATTTGGCTATGAGTGCACAAATCCGAGGCATCTAGTATCATCTAGCATATGAGAGTTCATATTGCAATTGTTGGGCAATTCTGAGTGAGGATTTTGTGTGTGCACCTTAGTCTCCTTTGTATTCGTTGTGGGAATTAATATAAAGGTTGGGCATTGCCCGTAAACGTGTTTGTGTGTTTGATTTCCGATGCATACTCTTGTATTCGTTTACGTGGCTGAAAAGACTTGTGTTTGTGCGTGTTTGTGCGAAGAAAATCGTGAGGAAGGCTGACTGATTTGGTGGGCAAATCAGGCCGTACGGGCGGAAAATTTCGGTGATAAATTAACCCCTGTAACAGTTACCATCATGAATTTTCGTTTGAGTTGTGGGTTTATAGACCCATTCCCATCACTAACTAGCACATTTGATCTCTATTGATTCCTTCGTCAATGATCAACCAAATTATCTCTTGACTTCGTAAAGTCAACGTTTATAATTTCACTAGAGATCAATTGCTAAATGGTGTTACGTCTACGATCGAGACTTTACCATTTTACATATTATTTTGTGCTCTTTGTACAGCCAATTGACTACTACAATTATTTTCAAGCACCAACTAAGTCCATCATATAATGTCCTCTAGAAAATTGTGGAGTTATCCAACATTTTTCTTTAACTTCCAAGTTATGTCTCGAATTCCATAGTGAATCAAGTTATACATTTATTTTGAGGACTTCCACAATACAAAATCATTTATGGACTTAGTATCTTAGTAACACATATCCAATTCGTATGAATTTACTTTTCAAGTATAATTGGATATCTTCTATAATGTAATTTACGTTTGTACTTCCAATAAAACTTATTAGTTTATCAATCTATTACATATAGGATTACCTACTTACTTGACTTGCTTAATGAGTCAATCAACATGTAGTTCATTAAACTACAATCTATTCAAGAATATTTTAGTTGAATCATTGTTCACCACTATTCTTTATAGTCTTATATTGATGAGTTCAATATGACTAGCATTGTCTCAACATACTGAGACTCCAATAATTCATAAAATCCTTAGTGATTTTAATCTCAATAAGATTGCATCAATAGGACTATATTTTCCACATTGAAATCTTTTACTAATATTTCATTAGTTTTCATGATAATACCATGATTACACAGCATGATTAACATGTCATTTACTCAAAAACATGTACTCTTATGTGCATTTATCACACACGTACTTTTCAGACTCGCCAAGTTTAAAAGTATTTGACAACAATTCTTATCAAATGTACAATTGCTTTAGAACTTATTTAAGTTCATACTATACGAGTTTCACTAAATTTTCCATTTGTCTCAAAGACAATTAACCTCCAATTTGGACAACACTTCATTAGTTGCTCGAGTTATACATTTACTAACTCATAATTTAGAAAACCAAAATCAAACTATTGATTTCGTAGCTCTCTTTTATTGAGCGTTTGGTAATTTATCACTTTATAAATTACCACTTAATCTAATAAAACATTTGGTTATTTATCACTTTATAAATTACCACTTGATCTCATAGAGAGATATATCTTTAGCTAACCATTTACACTCTCTAGCTCATTGTCAATGTGAGATGGTGACTTTTCACCTCCATATACATTAATTTCCCATTCACCCCTAGTCGAGTTTGAGAAATTAAACACACTAGATTTATCTAGTCAAAGTGTAGGTTTTTATTCCATAACTTAACAAATGGAATCCACTTAAATTGTTTGTCAAACTTGGTCAAAATCCAATTTTTCAAACACATTTAATTTCAAAGATCGTACATTTATTTGCCTCAAGAATGACTATCTTGAGCACTTTCGTACTTAGCATATTCAATAAATATGCATTTCAATATGTTCAACTTAGATACTTTTACCTTAGTCAAAACACCCCCACATTTCTATGGTCCAAAACCTTTATGTGGTAAAATAATGAGAAAGTGGTGAGCCATAATCTCCCCCACAAATTCTAGCTTACTCTAGAATTATCAACATGGCTTTCTTACTCATTAACAGTTCGAGTATTTCATTTCTCAATACTTACAACTGTGGTTGATAAGGACTAGCGATTTGATAAGTACGAAACTTGTCAAAAAATACTCCATATCATCCACGTCAATCACTTTGAATAAATTTTTTTATTCATATACCATGATCATTCTCATTTAAATGATTCTAAGGCCTCATCTTTGTTGCTTAACAAAGATACATTATAAAATTTTTGGTATAAATACCACAAAAGTGACAAATACTTTTCTCATAAATTGTACAATCTTTTAAATCACCAATGTGATTTAACTTTATACACACTGTGTTTATTTTGTCTTAATAGAACACACTATAGGAAACTTCTCAAGATACTCAAATCAAGAAAGTTCTTATCAAATTGTGACAGTTTGTACACAATTCAAATCCTTTGATCCAACAGTGCAACTGGCCACAATAATCTCGCGTATAGAGATTGTTTGACATTTTCCGTAAGAGAAAAAAAACATCCATTGCTTTACGAATGGATCAGATGTTCAACATCATAAAATTCTATTTCATTCATTCATAAGTTATACTTATGTCTTATGAATACAATATCTAAAAATCACGACAATCCAATAGATCAGTTATCTTCGATGTTTTTTTTAGATAACAACTGCTCAAATATTCCTTTAGAAATTGAGCTTCTTGAGTTTCGATTATATATCAATTTCAAATATTACATGCCTCTACTTGCACACACATATGAAATTATCATTTTAAAGATAAAAATGCATCAACTTGATATTCAATATACTAAATATTGAATTTAAGCATAATAATATCACAAATAGCATGAATATCTATGATATAACATAACATTTGGAGTTAATCATGAGCTTATAAACATACATATATGCACATAATCATAATTAGATAATTCCAAATATTCACATGCATCATATAATATATGTATACAAAATACTTATATGTAAATAAGCATTTCAAAATTAACATGGAATAGATAATCCATTCGTACATATCCGATTAAACATCATTATTCATGCTGAAAATTATTTATATTCATAGCATAAATATTCATATAACTTAACCACGTATTATAACATAATTTCCAATTCATAAAAAATATGCTTCAACAAACATATATTATATGCTTCTAATTCTATGTACTCATTGACATAGATATCATACAAATAATATAACATAAAAAAAATATTATTATACGTTATTTCAAGTGTGCGACAATACTAGCATCTCATAATATTATGCACTAAATTAATTTAAATTCTGCATACGAATTTCAGCAAAATCTCATGCATATATCAACATTAATCCATGCATCTCAACATATCGAAATAACATTCAAAGTATCTATCATGCTTCGAACATAACAACATTCAAGATTTATCATACTCTCATAAATAATGCTATCATGCCAATTATAACATATAGTGCAAATATTATTACGCCATAATTTTATCATGCAACATAACCATGTTTCTATCTCATATAATACCATATTATTTATCATATAATATTATCACTTAATTGCATGAGATACAGTAAATTAATAAAAAGGCGTACCCGAAATAATTATAAACGTGTCGTTTCAAACTTCTGGGACGAATTTGAAATTCTTACATAAGGAATGCATCGGCAGTTTTGGCAGCACTGAAAAACTTAATCATATATTTAACATCCGATGTCCGATTTTGTTGATTCAATATGATCCGATTAGCCAACGAAATTTCCTACAACTTTCGTCTTTTAAGTTTTCTAAGATTCGGACTGGATCATGATCAAATTAAGCCTCCAAGTCGAAGAATGTGTGCTGTGTAAAATTGCACCTACAATGGAACGATGAAAATATTAAATAATATTCATGAATCAATAATTATATAATATCTCGTCATATTTAGGGTATAATTCCATCATTATTCTTGAATTTGGTCTTCTTTCACCAAAATTTCGTGCACCATAATGTGTTAGAGACGTGTTGGTACGCTGGGGTTGCACCGCCTCACGAACGGTTGCATTATTCATGAAAAGGTGTGTTGGCAGTTTTGACACCCTTTCGTGTTTTCGTCATAACTCCTCCGTATGAACTCCGATTTAGATGATTTAACATGTTCTAGAAAGAACACTTGATTTTCTACAACTTTTGTGAAATGGTACTTTTACAGATGCTGACCGTATCACCTCCGATAATGGGCTGGAACATAGACGTTGTGTTATGTCTGAAAATGACATTCTCCTCCAATTTGATTTTGTAACTTCTTGGATTTTGGGCAGAATATCTTCTTCTCCATCTCGAAAATACAACTGAAAATTTGTCTTAAGATTGTTAATTGGGTGTGTGTATTTTGAAATGGGAACGAACAAAATTTGGACATAAGTTTGACAAGAAAAATGTAGTCGAGGCAATAACTAGGTCTTTTCTCCTTAAGACAAATTTGCCCCGTGCAGTGCTCTCGGTTTACGGCAATTGTCTCCCAAGATACAACGACTCTTTCAGTTCCAACAAAGCAGCACAACAATTATTGGAACACGGCGAACGAAACGACGTTTAGGACTTTATAAGACACGAAGAAATGACTTGTTAATGCAACAATATGCAATGATATGTTATGACGAGAAGTGAATTCAATTAACGTATTGAATTCCATGTGAATAATGAACTATCTCAAATGGTGGATTTTGGAATCTATTTATAGATTTTCAAAGGTTATGACCACAAGTCACAACTCTTAGGAAAATAATTTCATGAAAAGGTATCACACCTTTTCCCATTAACCACACACCTATTCAATTTAATAGGTGCTTAAACACCTCCATCTTTTTCAATGGTGGCATTTCACTTTATTATTTTCCACACTTAAATATTTTAAATGATCCATTAATTTATCATTCATCAAAAATTAATTTTGAGAATTTAAATTAAACCACTTAAATATTTAACAAAATTTGAGTCAAATACTCAAAATTTCCAACAAGAACATTCGTAACCACCATAAAGCATAGCCAAAACTGCAAAAGCTAATATCATAATATATTTATGTGGTATAATAGAGATCCATTTGCCGTTTTCAAGACTTACATATTTATCCGTGCAAAAAAGGAGAAGGTAGGGTTGATTAATTGACAAAAGGCATTTACGAGTTTCTTCTTTCACGCATCCCTTGCTTCCACCAAATAAAAGAAGGTTGTCCAAGTACTAAACATCATCCTCACTCGACCAAATTGGATCTGAACGGGGCAAAACATCGGTGATTGTCACATCATGCTTAAACCTGCAAGGATAAAAATTGTTCGTCGTTTTTAGCACAAAGGATGTAGATAATTTATCAAATACTTGAGTATGAACATATTCAGTTGTGCGCATAACTTGAAAGATAAAAAGCTAATTAAAGCTTCACTTGTTTATAAGGGGCAAATTTGTATTTCTCACTGCATTTCATCATTAAGATGATCAACTTGGTGACCGAGACTGTATTCAATCAACATAAGCATCCAAACAAGAGTGAAACACCAAAATAAAGTCCATTACTCGATTATAGGTCAATTCATAGATGCCTGCCCAAGTGAAGCAACTCATAATGACAAAAAAAAAAAAAAAAAAAAAAAAAAAAAAAAAAGAGGAAATTGAAAATTGGAAATACTAGAGTAGAATTCAGGTTCTTACTATCTCATCCCTATCAAATATCAGCAGCTAATGCGGCAATTGATGAAAATAAAGGCCATAATTTACATTTTACTGCTAGGCTAAAACATCTCCCAAGTTAAATTTTTTTTTTTTGATGATAAGTCTCTAATTAAATACAAAATCACAAAATGAAAAATAAAATCCCCACGTACTGACCTAAGATTCTCCTCAATTCACATAGGAAAGACAATTTATGTAATAAGAATAATGCTCAATTCTAAAAAAAAAATCATTTTAAATGGCATAACTTTTTAAATATGATATGTGCTGAGGCTCTCATCCTTCGATAATTGCCAAGAAAAACAATTGTCTTTTTACAGGAAAAACAATTGGCTTTCAGATTTTGAAAAATAAGCTAAACAGAATTTAATCATCCAAAGCAAAAAAAAAAAAAAAAAGGTGCTAGCTTGAGTAAGTTTCACCTTATTAGCCGTCTTCTTCTTCCTCTTCCTCTTCGTTCCGGCACTACTTTTCACTTCAACGGCATAACTTTCATCGAGCGGAAGAATACTTCCTGGGAAAAATTGACAAGAGAAAAATTCCGGAAGCCCATCAATGGTAACATTCTTCGCAAGATTTCTCTCGATATCCAACATAAAAAACCCGCTATCGTGCAGCAGAAAAACCTGCCCTTTGCTCTTAAAATAAGCAACAGGTCTGAGATTCCACCTAGTACCACTACCATATCCTTCCCCAAATGTAAACAACTTTACCCACTCACAATCTTTCATCATCCATCCATCGATGCGATTCATCATGTAGTAGCAGCTCAGAATTAAGCATCCACCCAAAGCATCGACGCGCGTTTCGAAAGGTTTCCCTAAATCGGGAGGCAGAGGAAGTTTGTCGTAATTCTCGGTTTTGAGATCGAGAGCAATTACGAAATCCCATGATCTCCAGTACAATGCTCCATTCAGATAAACCCCGGGGCTAAGCCATGGGAAATCACTAGGGCAGTCGTTAATCACCTTCCAAAAACCCGATCGCAAGCTATAAATGCAAGTCCGGTACACAATTTTACCGTGGCGAAGAATTTCGTCTATCCTGACAACTTTGTAGTCGTCGGAGGCCGAGCAATACCCAAGCCCAGTCCCGATCAATCGTGAATCGTGATCGAATTCCGACACCTCGTGGAAATCTTGCATTACCGGGTTGAATACTGCCCAAATTTTATCCACGTCGTAGTGCGAAAGCAGCATCAGGCCATTGCAGGAGGCAACCGGCAAAGCAGGTAAGCGAGGGACGCATGTGCGGTATAATGTCCTCAGAGGCATTACGTCGATCACTTGGTGGGCATCGTTGTTGTAGTCGAGGGAGTCGGGGGATAAAGAGAAGAGGCGAGTGCCGGTTGAGTTTGCGATGACGAGAGTGGTGGAGGAGGATTGGTTGGTGGCGTGGGATCTGATGAAGGAAGCATCGCCGATGATTGCGCGCCACGCCTTGCACACGGTGCTGAAGCGGAGGAGAGAATCGGCGGGAACTCGGAGGAGTATTTTGCGGAAGAGTTCGGAGGGAATGTCGGACATTTTTTGGAGGAGAGCAAAAGGGTTCGAAATGCAGAGTGGAGACGATGAGTACATATATAGGGTTTGGGGATTGAATTCTTCTCTGCATTGGTTACAAAGAAAAGTTTGATGGGATGTGTATACAGAGAAGTTGCAGGAAAACTGCAAAAGCTTTTGACTTGCAAGGCAGCACACTTGCTTCCATGTGCATGTCATAAAAAGTACTCTTTCCCTCCAAATTATTCAAAATTGGGGGAATTTCAAATAGGACCATAACAGGCCCAAAAATGCACATAGATCCAAATAAAAAACACACCGTTGCAAATATACTAATCCCTGTGTTTTTTTGTTAAAATACCTCCATAATATAATTTTTATCAATTCTATTTATTATACTCTAACTTCATCAATATTATACATTAACCCGTATTTGAATAAATGTATCACGTTAACCCCATGGGCATAAGACTATTTTTTATCTTAAATTTTTTTCCGGCCACGTCTCTGGAATTGATTTTTTTTCCCTCTCTAAATTACTGTGTTAACAACAAAATTATTGTATGATATAGTAATATTGAATACCAAAACAGTAATATTACTACTATTACTGTCCCAAATAGTAATATTATTGCATGAGACAGTAATATTACGGTCGACGATACCAAAATTACAGGCCAAGACAGTAAAATAATTAATACAATAATATTATTGTCTCAAACAGTTAAATTACTGTCGATACAGTAATATAGCAGGCCAAGACAGTAATATTAATAAAAAAAATATTTAAGAAAAAATAAGTTTAAAAAAAAAAATCAATGCGGGAGACCGGCGATGTCGATCAACATTGGGGTCAAAATTGGTTAATAGGTGAATTTGAAGGGTAAATCATGAAATTGGAGTTGAATTAGAGCCCGTTTAATTAAGCTTACTTAAAACATCTTATAAGTTCCTACATCTGATAAGATGTTTTAGTAGCTGATAACCTGTTAGATCTTATTTTAAAAATTATTTTTAAGGTGTTTGGATATGTAGCTTATAAGTTATCTTTAGTTTTTAAAAGTTGTTCAGGTGTTTGGAAATAAAATGTATGTTTATTGCTTTAACTGTTAAATTTATTTGAGTTATAAATTTATTTGACTCAAATACTTTTATTCCTAGAATATTATTATAATATTTATAAATTATTTTTTTAAATATAAAATAATAATATAAAATTATATATTAAATAAACTAATATATTTTTTTATGTATGTTGATATGATATTTGACTATCTTTTCTAAGAAAATAAAGTGTAATAAAATATTTTATGAAAGAGGTTTGTGGAAGTTTTAGTTTTTTGTCCCATGAATATATTAATATAAAATAAAGGTTGTAAAAGAATATAATTTTTTTAATGATAGATAAAAGAAATATAATTTATTATTGAGATAACTAGAATATTCGGGTATTTTTATATACATATAAAGTATAAATAGAGAATAATTTTTTTACAATTATTATGACCATTATGATAATTATATTTAATTAATTATTAATCTTGATTACAAGAATTCGTTGTTTTGATTAGGGGCTTTAAGATATGCACCCCTAGTGGGAAAACTTATAAGATGCTACGCCCAAGCCTATAAAAATATTAGCCTCGCATCCTTTTGTGAAATTGTGCTTATAATACCCTTACGGTGATATTAACGCCGTCTATTTCGTTATTTGGCAAGGTGAAATTAAATCCCACCAATCTCGCCATTAGTAATCTCTAAGATCCTATTTTTCCAAATCCCACATTAACCGTATCATAATCCAGCCCCCCGCCCTCCACCGCCCCAGATTAGGGCCCCGTTCCTCTCGTTCTCTACTGCAAATCGGGGGCGAGCACCCTCATAGCAACATAAAAAATCAAATTTAATTATGATCTTAAACACTATTTCTTTATCTTAAGTAAATTGGTTGAGAATATACATAATTCTATGGCTTGTTTTCCATATAATTTAGCAATGTTTAGAAAATACCCTTAAGTATTAACTAATTAGTAGTGTCAGGCACATTATACGAAGACCGGTTTGGATTTCTAATTCGGTTTTCATGGAGTTGAACACTTTGCATTTGACATGGACCATGTGGCCCATATGAGCGCAGTCTACATAGTCTACATAAATAGAATAATCTGACTATAAAGCCCAAAAAGGGCGACCCAAATTAAAAATCCAGTTCCATCAAAGATATACCAAACCTTAAAAAGGAAGACAAGGTTTTCTCTACCTTTACCGCATACAACGACGTGAGATGAGGCCATAGGCTTGACATCGTGACCTCGAATTGGGGTTTCGGACGAGCTCATTTAACCTAAAATTTCATTAATGCAGCATGCCCAAATAAGAAGGTAATTAGGTTAAAGAATCTAATGAATCTTACATTTCAAGCAAGGGAGACTTCTATAAATAGTGGGTTGACTCAAATTTTTACCCTATAATGGTTTTTTACTAGAATCCACAATATGCATATAAATACAAATTTTGACTTAATCGTCGGAATTCTTACATTGGGAAAACTTTCCCAGTGTTGACGGGAGGAGATCTGAGCTGACATCATGCTTGCGTCATCAAAACCGACGAACAAGATACTATTAATATTAGATATGCTAAGTTTGTGTCATGACTCATGACTATAATGGTTAGCCCACGAGGCTATTTATAATTGCAAATTAGCATCGCTTTTCAAATTCTAATACCACTCCACTCCACTATTACTTGCTGCCCCTTTAGCATTTAATTTTGTTTGGTTCAATGGGGGAAATTGATAAAAAAATTCTTGGGCTTGAGGAGATTTCTTAGATATTTTTTTCCCCATTTAGACAAACATATTGAATCAATCAATTTGTCAATTAAAAAAATATTCATTCATAATTATGCAGATTTCACAAAATATAATATTTATATTAGGGCCTTGATCGAAGAATTTGATGCTACATTAGCTTATTTCGGCGTCGTTTACTTCTGTGGATATTTACTACAAGTAACAGATTGAGTCTCTTTTGGTTTGTTTGATTTTATTTAAAATAAAAAATTACGGTTTTGTACAAAATCAAATACGCAGGGGAGATGCGGTTGAAGGGGCAGCAGGACATATATGCGCTAGATCCTGGTACGATTGAACATATGTATATGTTGTTGTTTGCTTTTGTCTAAATCTTTGGGTAACTATGAAGTCCACCCACAATAAAAAATGTCTGGGCGCGTAAAATATTTTTGTAGTTTGATTTTGTAATTCGTTATTTGGTAATCGTAGTCTTCTGCATTTTTTTGCTGACGTGTGAGTGTTGTTGTATATTATGTTAAGGTTCTGTTTTGTGTGATTATTGCTAGTTGGTGTACATAGACTATATATTTTTATGGTAGTCTGTAGACTAACAATTGTATTAATATGGTAGTTTATGAATTAATACTTGTATTTCTATAGTAGTCTATAAACTGACAATTGTATATATTTTGTTGTAGTTATGTTGTTGTGTGATTCATTCTTTTTTGCTGACCGATGTTGCTGACCTATGAAATAGTTGATGTTAGATGATTGTCTATGTAATTGATATATCTGACCACCAAATGGTGCATCACCTAACTGGAATTAATTGGTAATGTGAACAAATATACATATTTTGTGCATTCACAATGGGACAGAGATGATATATAGCTGCATGTTTAGCTTATTTGTAAGTTTATTGTTAATGAAAAGTGTACATAAGCTCTATATGCATATGTAACTATCTGTATAATCTATGTAGTATTGTGGTATTCTATGGGTACTGTGATAGTCTATGTTTGTCTGTCAATTAGAAATATTCAAATTTCTTAATAAAAAGCTACTGATTCTACAATTAAATGGTATGTGTATTTTTTTTTTTAATCTCCACCCACACATGTAGCTTTCATGACAAATAAATATGGTTTGTTACATTTGTAGAAGAGGCCATGAATGTTGCGTGAAGAACGCGAAATAAAGGTGGTTACATATCTCAATTCAGGTCTAACTTGACGTGTACCATGACTTTCTTCGAATTACATACACTGATATTTTAAATTCTATAAATAAAACACAGAAAACATATGTGGAAAAAACTGCACAAGTCACGGGGCTATCAGAGATTCTAATCGACAAACCGTTGACAGTTGAAATTAGTCCGCAACAGAAAGCTGGTTCCAACGATTGTGGTGTAATGGTGCTCTACATCATTAGGGAATATTTTATTCGGATACCATTGGATATCAAAGAAGCAGATGATGATATTACATATATGAGAAAGAACATTGTAGAACATCTTTTGAATTACAAGCTCAATTGAGCAATACAGTAGTCTCATTTTGTTTGTCTTGTGTACGCAACTCCGTTTAGGCAAATGGCATTTGAATTGTTGGCATGTAAACATAATTATGGTTATTAACTCTAGTTTTTGGGTAAAATATTCGAAACAAGTTGGTCGTTATTGACACTATGTCCTATCTATATATTATTATTTTTATATTGGATAAGTACCTTTGGTCATAATTCAACATAGATTTTTTATACATTTGATTTCATTCATTGCTTTACAGGAAATTGAACATACCAACTAAAGATTATTGTACACCGACTGGTATTCAATATCACAAATGTTGAACTATACTATAATATAATGTATTCATCTATGCTATCCTACAGATTAATGAAGATACTTTGTATTTGCACAATGAGTGATAAAAGTGCACCATCCCTAAGAGAATACAGTACTGGAATATGATTTCAAAATCCCTAAATCAGTCTGGTATTCAATATCTCAAATGATAACTATATAATATTATACTTTGTTCATGTACAATTATTAGTATAAACACAATGACATCCACAACAAAGCAGATCCAGGTCTCTATATACAACAACGTGTAAACAAAATCTACTAATAATCGCTTATAATCCTAACACAAATCATATAATCGTATAAACAAACAACATATAGACATATACGTAGACTATATATAATAGACTATGAATATTTGGCAAACAGGAAGATGACTATAATATACTATGTCCTGCTATTCCAACACCAACAACAAATTTTGTGGTTATATATACACTCTGACTATACTTAAGCATTCACATCAAATAACTCAGGCCTTTATGGATATGCAATTTGCAAACACAAATACGATCGATAACAAATCACTAACAATATCAATATGTAAATATAATTCACATCTTAGCAAAAATTCAAATAGCCCAGAAGATGCACTTCGAGTCACTCAATAAACCATACAAGTTCGATAGTTGCACATCAAATTCCTCAAAAATAATATCAAAATTAATGTGAATGGTTATCCTTTGATTTCACAATACGCACAGTCCGCTAGTTCGAACACAACATGCATATCCAAGTTTTATTCAATCATATTATCGTAGCAGACTTAATTATTCACTTCCACAAATCAGCATCAAATTGGATTCATTGGCAGGAAAAAAGTTAGAAATTGCGAGAATGAATTTTTTTTGGATAGTGGTTGAGAAGAATCGAAAAAAAAAGAATGGAGAAAAAATGGGAAGAACAAGAATATACAGGAGACGCGAGGAGAAATGTTGATAGCAGAGAAGAATCGGGAGGGAGATAGAGGAAAGAGAAGGAACATGATTTGTTTCCATTCCCAATAACTGTTACCGTAAGGGCAGTCTTGGGATAAATTAAAAAAATGGTCTGTCTTTCAAATTTATCCATGAATGAGGGATTTAGTTCAGAAAAGAATATTAAGGTTGTATCCCACATCTAATTATGTTTGGTTTAAGGGACCTCTAGCATATTACCCCTAAATGTTATTATGAGTCATGTAATATAATAAAGTATTTTAGGGTAATTTTGTATTTTGAGTGTTTTAGTAAAGAAGCTAATAAGATCTTAAAGAAAAAAAAAGGTGGAGTAAAGGTATTTTTGTAAAAACATCTTATAAGCTCCCTAACAACTTATTTTTTGAAAAAATAATATTTTTTCTATTTTTTTTCACCAAACACTTTTTAACAGCTTATATGCTCTTAAACATTTATATGCTCTTAAACATCTTCTAAGATGTTTTTAGGAGCTTATAAACTTAGCCAAACAGGCTCTTCGTGTTTCAAGGAATTTGGGGTTATTTTGGTATATATAAAAGGGTTTTTCCTTATTTACAAATAAGTTTGAATGAACTGGATTTATTTGGAAGACAAAAAAGTTGGATGTCATTTTTCTAATTAAATCTCTTGTCATGGGCCTATTTGCCATTTGCACTTCAAAATTATTGATAACATGTCTAATAACTAATATATAAATATATGTATATATACAGTTAAATATCTATAAATTAATACAGCTGAGACTATCAAAATCCTATTAATTTAGCGAATTAATAACTTATCGATAAATTAATAATTATTTATTCATGAAATTATTGTTATTATTATTTTCAATATATATATATATATATATAGATACCATTAGTTCAATGTACTCTAGAGTACGTTCCTCGAACATAAGCGCTTAAAGCAACAATGGTATAGAACATTTTTTTTTAATTATGAGAAACACACTAGAAGTTCTAACCATGTTAATAAAAGTGAAGGATAAGATTGATTGCGATGTCATATGTGAACTTCAACAAGAAAGAAGAGATAAATAAATCATATTTTATTAAGTCTTCACATGTAAAAAAATGTACTGTACTATGTAATTTAACAATTATTTTTATGGATTATTAATTTATATATTAGATGGAGCTTCTTGAAATTTTCAGATGTTTATTATCTTATAAATGTAGCAAATTATTAATTTAGCACGTTATAGCCAAGTCGAGACCGGAAAAAAAATATTATTTAAGCGATGTTATTAATTTATTGAGGTTATAATGTATATTATAACCACAACTAGGGGCGAAAGATGTAATATAATTTCCATTTCCACGGTCAATCCGAAACTTTCGAATTTTAGAACACTTACTTTTATTCGTATTTTCAAAATTTTGATATTCGATTTATTCAATTTTTTTTGAATTGGAAGTGGAAATGTATGTAGAACTTTTGGAATTTTTTATATTTCCGTCTGATTTTAATTTTCAAAAAAACCATTTTGTTTTGGGTTAATAGCATTTTCCCACCTAGACTTTGCCCGTTTTTGCACTTTCCCACCTCAACTAAAAAAAGTTGCACGGCGGCACCCAAACATTCATTTTTGACGCACATAACCACCTGGAGGGAATATTCCGGCGAATATTCTCATTTTTCAACGCACGCACGATGCACATGTGAAAGTACAAGGGCTTTTTCGTCTTTTTACTTGAAAATATTATAAGAGGTGAAATTGAAAGTACGAGGGACTCAATTGAACTTAATTTGAGCTTAATAAACGGCGGACCAATTATGTCAAAAAATGTCATGACTAAGGACTAATATTGTAACTCGAAAATGTTGAGGGACAGTTTTGAAAAAGTGGGTAAAGTATGAGGACGAAAAATATAATTCTCCCTGCATATAATAACCTATTAAAAAGAATTCAAAATGAGAGGGATGTTTGGATTCACAAGAGCCATGCCTTCTTTCAGGCTTCCACCAAACCCGAGTTGTTCAAAGCACTAATCATCGCCCTCACTCGAACAAACATCAACGATACTTACAGAGTGTTTTACCCTGCGAGAATATAAACATTACGGTCATGTTGAACACAAGAAGATGTCGATAGTTTATCACGTAATTGCACACGCACTAAGAGTGTCTAAAAATGAATGTCTTCGCATGTTCGTAGAGCACAACTTTCTACTTCGCTCTAGTCCCACACTAACATAAGCTTTGGATAAAATGAAATTCATGGAGGCAACAATTTTTCTGCGACAGCCGCAACATCTCCCAAGTCAACGACAACTATAACTCTTGAATAAAAAGCCAACTCACAAAACGAAAGGAAAATCTCAACTTACTGACCTCAAATTCTTCTCGTCAACTTAAACATAATTGTAACAACAACAACAACAACAACACTCAATTCTCGAATCATATTATAATGGTATAACTTTTTTAAATACGATAAGCATTAAGGTTCTTTTATCCTTAGATATTTGCCAACAAAAAATGATATTCTTTTTGAACGATCTGACCAGCCCTCGTTAGTAAAGTTGTTACCTAGCCTGGACTAACAGTAGAGATCTACGGTTCGAATCCTGCCCTGCCCCTACTTGCCTAATTTGTAACATGATTTGATATTTTTTTTTAAATTAAAAAAAATTGAACGATCTACAATCTTGAAATCGGCTAAGCCGAAGCAAAATTTAATGATTAAAAAGATAAACAATAAAAAAATAAAAAAAGGGGTACTTAGAGTAGTTTCACCTTGCATCAGCCGTGTTCCTCTTCCTCTTCATCCCTGCTCTATTTTTCACTGTAACAGCACAACTTTGATCAAGTCGTAACAGACTTTCCACCATAATTTGAGACGAGAACTTACGCGGGAGCCCACGAACAATAACCTTCTTCAAAGAATTACTCTCAACATCCAACCGAAAAAACGCGTCACCATGCTGAAGAAAAACGTGCCCTTTGCTCTTGATATAAGCAATAGGCCTGAGGCACCACATAACTCCAACAATATCTCCCACTTCCCTAAACGAAAACAACTTCACCCACGATTTCTCCACTCCACAATCTTTCATCACCCATCCATCCAATCGATCCATCGGGTAGAAGCAACTCACAACCAAGCATCCATCCAGCACATCTAGATGCACGCCGGAAAGTTCCTCCGAATTCGCGGGCAGAGGCAGCTCTCTGTAATCTTCAGTTTCAAGAACAACCGCAACTATCATGTTCCGTAATATCCAGTGCAATGCGCCGTCGAGGAAAACCCCGGTAAGCTGCCTCATCCACGAAAAGTCGTAAGGGCAATCCTTAGTCATCGTCCAAGAATCCATTTTTAGACTATAAAAACTAGTTTGGTATACAGTTCTACTATCACTGTCGTAGTCCAGTGAATCTATCCTCACAACTTTGTAGTCGTCGGAAGCGGAATCGTACCCGATCCCACCACCTCTGAAGCTCGAATAGGCATCGTCGAACTCGGTATTGAACTGGGGCAACTCGTGGAACTCTCTGGTTAAGGTGTTCCATATAACCCAAGTCTTTTCATTCTCGTATTGGGAATGGAGAATCAGGCCGTTGCAACAAGCTACCGGCAGAACAGGTGAGCGAGGCAGGCCTACGCGGAAGAGAGCCTTCACGGGCATTACGTCGATCACCTGGTGGGCGTCGTCGAAGTTTAGGGAGTCCAGAGTTAAGGAATAAAATCGAGTGGCGGTTGAGTTTCTGATGAGGAGGGTGGTGGAGGAAGTTTGATTGGCGGCGTGGGTTCTGACGAAGGATGGCTCGTCGATGAGGCGGCGCCACCACTTGCAGACGGCACGAAAGCGGAGGAGAGAATCGGCGGGGAGTCGACGGAGTATTTCATGATGGAGGTCGGAGGGAATGTCTGACATTTGTTTTTCGGCGCAAAGGTGATGGAAATCAAGAATGTGAATAATGCTTTGTGGTGACTGGTGTGTGAGTGTGTGTGATACCATTTTCTTTTCCCCGTTTAGGAAAGGAGATCTCTCCCAAAATATATGATTATTTTATTCCCTAAGGTTTATAGGCAATACGAAGGGAAAATTAGCAACAAATCCCTCTAACTGGGAAATATAATTAAGAAAAATCTTTCTACCAAAAAAGTAAGGGATAATTAGTGAGAACCAACACATATTTACATATCTTAGGTTAGGGGTGTAAACGAGCCGAGCCGACTCGTGAGCTCGAAGAGCCGGCTCGTAAAAAGCTCGAACTCGGACTCGAGATTTTCGAGCTCGAGCTCGAGCTCGCGAGCTCGAGCTTTCTGACGAGCCGAGCTCGAGCCGGTTTTCAGTTGTTCATGAGCTCGCGAGCCGGCTCGCGAGCCGGATTTATTATTATTATTTTTTTTTTTATATTTTATATGTTATTTTTATTTAAATAATGTATAATAATGTAAAATATTATAGAAATAAATACAAATATTAAAAATATATATAATTACAATTTTGTTTTTATTTTTTATTTTTTTAAATAATTTTTAATAATAAAATAATAATTAAAAAAATATTAAAAAAAAAAAAAAAAAGACAGTGGGCTCGAGCTCGAGCTCGACAAAATTGACACGAGCTCGAGCTCGAGCCAAAAACAGAGGAGCTCGCGAGCTCGAGCTCGAGCTCGAGCTCGACAAAATAAACTCGAGCTCGAGCTCGAGCCAGCCAAAAGAGGCGAGCTCGGCTCGAGCTCGGCTCGTTTACACCCCTATCTTAGGTGGATATAACCCTTTTCAATATTAGTCAAATTCCCCTTAATTATTAAATTTAATTTTTTTTTTTTAAATTGCCATGAATAATATCTAATTTGTTCTTACGTCGATATTATTTCACATCTACCCTAATTTTACTACGCCATTCAACAGTTTCCATTTTCTTTTCTCTTATTTCTGTCATTCTCTTCATACTTCATTTGCTCTCTTTTCTCTCTCCCATAAATAAATCCAAGGTGCAGCCTCCACCATCCACCATTGAAGAGCATAGCATGAGCCGATGACTTTAAGAACAGCCTTAAGAACGCGCTCGTAGCGCATCTCCACTCCCTCAACATTGATGTCCAAGCCGCCAGATCTGAAGTTCTCGTCCCGCTGCCGCCGCCATCGCTCCGATCTCGATTTAGTTGTAGAAGGCGACATAAAAACTAAAAAATCCCTCCCTACCTCCACCCCTCAACTCCACCGCCGGATATAGAGACTTTGCCGCCGCCGCCTCTGCCCTGTCGTCGCCATCGTTCTGATTTTTTTGATTTTTTTTATGATACTTTTGATGTTAGGTATTTTTACAGTAATATAGTTGTTTTTGTTATCCGGCTATTTTTTATAGCTGTTTTCGTTATCCTGCTATTTCTTTTAGTTGTTTTTGATAGTTTTAGTTGTTTTCAACATTTTTTTTTATTTTCAAATTTTTGGTAGTTGATTTTGATTTTTTATTTTTTATCCAATTATATGACCTGCTGGAATAATAAAAAATCAAAAAATATGATTAAAAAAATTAGTTGATGTATTTTTAGTTGTTTTCGACATTTTTAATTGATTTTGATTTTTTATAGTTATTTCAATAATATGTAGTAATTTGTCAATTTTGTAAATTAGTTGGAAAAAAATTCGTTTTGGATTCAAAATAATGATATGAATAAAAAATTGAATCTTTTAGTTGATTTTCAGAAAAAATTTAGTCAATTTCGAAAATATTACAGTTGATTTTGGAGAAACGAAACTAATAAATTGTTGAAAATAATATTATTTTTTAGTTATTAAAAAATATTTTAAAAATTATTTAAAAAACTATTTTTTTTAAATAAACAAAACGAAAATTAAAATGGAAAATAGAAAATAAATAAAAAGGTACGTTAATCAAATAATAGGGAAGGTTAAATTTGATAATAAATAAAAGCTGGGTTTATCACTAATAAAGAAAAGGTGACTAGATCCATCATTATTAAAAAAATGCTAGAGGGGGTTTTCATTAATAGTCCCAAAAAGTAATTAGCGAAATTCTACTTAGATAATATTCTACCCAAATGATATTTTTATAATTTTAAAATTATCTTTAGTTGATTATAACTATTTTTACCCTAATTATTTATCACCTTTCTATTTTTTTCGAGTGGTGATATTTCCACCTCCAAAGTATCTCAATTCACCACTAAACATTATAAAATGTCATAAATACCACTCACATTTATAATCAACCACCCTTCTTTATGTTCACTCAATCTTCATGTGTTCTAAGTTATTTCTATTTTATTTTAATTTTTTAATTTTTATTATTTTTTGCAATGAAGTATTTATTACAAAATATTTAAACTTCCATATTAGATGATACTACAAATTATGTAATTTTTTTAGGATACAAAATTATATTAAGCCAAACTGACTAATTGTGGAGGAAGTTCAGGACCTTCCATACAAGCAATCTTAATTTGTTTCTCAAAAAACGTGAATTCCTGCTCTTTTTGACCTTCAAATTTTTTTTCTCTGACGAAAGTATTATTCACTTAAGGTGGAGGGATGGAGATTTCCAGTGAAAATGGTAGTGATAGATGGTTTATGAATTTGTAAGAAATATGGGTGAAAGAAGATGAAAGGGTAAAATGAGAAAAATATATGTAATTTGGTGGTGAAATAAGATATTGTGAGGGTAGAAATACCATGTCTCTTTTTTTCCCCTGTGTGCCGTTTCTCACCCTTCTCTTCAGATCTCTGACATTTCTCTCCACTCTCCGCCACCACCATGGCTAAATCACAAACAACTTCTGGAAATCCACGACAGAGACTATGGCGAAGACACGGCGGAGGATCTCGTGCTCGCAAATACCCCAAGTAACGTTCCCCTTACTCACAGTTTCTTGAGGTTGCGAAGATTTCTTCTTGGTTGCCATCGTTGCGTCCTAGATATTTATTATATTGACCACCATCAAATATTAATCAATGACTAACGGATGGTAGGTTATGGATTTTTAATTTAATTTTGCTACCTCTTGAATATGGCGGTGGTCATGAAAAAAATAGGGTTTGGGTGGCTTTGTTTTGGTGATTTTGATGGTGGTGGTTCTGTTTGGATTGGTGATGCGGGTTGTGATTTAAATTATTTTTCATAAAAAACAAACGCAAGAATATGGAAATGGGGTGGTGATGGTGTAGTGTGGCGGCGGTGTGGTGACGATCGGGAGGCAGGTCTAGGATTTTTTAGTAGATCAGGCGGAGGACGGCGCGTGTAGAAAAATTCGCGCAGGCTGGACCCTTAATCGACTACGTGTTTTAGTAGTCAATTAAGTTAATCGATTATGCTCTAGTAGTTGATTAAAGTGTTAATTGACTATTTTGGTAATGTTAACATGATTTCATTTTTAATTCATTTTCGGATTTTTGTGTATTGATTTCGATTTGTATAAATCAATTGATTTATGTACATTATTTGTTTCGTCAAAAATGTTAATTTTCATGTTTATGTAATTGTGTTTTTTTAGTTTTTAAGTCAGTTTCTTAATCGACTATACTTCATCATAGTCGATTAATATGCTTCATAGTCGATTAATATACTTTACAGAGAAAGAAAAAAAAAACCGGTTGATGCGCATAGCAAATGATATAACAATTATAAATTATAATAACTAATTTCCTTTAAAGACAATATAATATAAATTTCAATTTGGAAAATATATGACTAAAAAATCGGAAGCAACTAAAAGCGTCCCAAAACATGAAACATGAAATTCTCATTTTTGAGATCACAAGACATAGCGTAGGATTTAAATAAATGGGTCTTTACAAATAAGCCCATGAATGGGTACTTATTTATAAAGAAATCTAGATAAAAAACTCATGTACCAATAAACCTACACATGGTCCACATTTTTGTAAAGGACTAAAATAACCCCTCATACTTTAATATGCTCCAATTTCATCCTTAACTTTATTTAACCTCAATTTGATCCCAAATTTAAATTATTTAATTTTGACCCAAATTTTTTTTTTCAAAAAAAATTTTTTTCCCGCCGGATTCCGGCGTTGACTTTTCAATTTTTCTTTTTTTTTCTTCTGTATTTTTTTGCCGGTTTTCGGCGTTGACTTTTTCGATTTTTTTTCTTCTTCTTTTCTTTCTTTCTGTAAGCTTTTTTTTTTCCGTTTAAACAACAATATTGTTGTGATTGACAGTAATATTAACTATATTACTGTTAAACACAGTAAAATTAAACTAAACTACAGTTTAACACAGTAATATTGCTATATTAATCTCTAGCACAATAATATTAACACAACAAAACTCATTATTATTGTGTAATAGAGTAATATTACTATGTTGACCGTTCAACAAATGTAAACATAATAAAAAACCAAAAGAATTAATATTACTGTGAGTGACAGTAATATTACTATAACAACAGTAATATTACCGTCAATCACAGTCATACTACAATAATAGACAATAATATTATTACGTTACTCCGTGAATAACTGAAACAAACAAAAAATCCAAACAAAATAATAATATTGATGTGGTTGACAACAATATTACTATAACAACAGTAATATTACCGTCAACCACAGTAATATTATTGTGTTTACAGTAATATTACAATAACAGACAGTAATATTATTACGTTACTCCGTGAATAACTCAAACAAAACAAAAAACCCAAAAAAATAATACTATTGATGTTGTTGACAGTAATATTATTGTGTTTACAGTTATTTTACTGTCAACGACAGTAATATAATTACGTTGACTTGTCAACAAATCAAACAAAAAAAAAAACACAACAACAAAAAAAAAATTAATAATATTACATTAATTTACTGTCAACGGCAGCACAATTACATAAATGTATTGTCAACGGCAGTACAATTACGTTAATTTACTGTCATTGACAGTATAATTACGTTAATTTACTGTCAGTGACAGCACAATTACGGTCAACGTTTAGCGGTGGACGTAAAAAAAAAAAAACCAAAAAAAAAAATTAAAAAAACACTAAAATAAGTCAACGCCGGAGACCGCCGAAAATCGGTGAAAAAATCCGGAAGAAAAGAAAAGAAAAAAGAAAAAAAAAATGTCAACGCCGGAGACCGGAGAAAAAATCCAAAAGAAAAGAAAAAGAAAAACAAAATTTGAAAAGTCAATGCCGGAGACCGGCGGCAA